ATCTTGAAATACGATTTCAGACACCCTTAAAATAGACCATACCATTTCCTAACCTTGACCTTAGTTGAACGTCTTGTCTGCCTGCATCAGTCCCAGTGGCTCATTAAAGTCCACTGCACCACACAACAAGCTAATGGAGACAATGTAGGTTAATGTAAGCAGTTCGCCATCTAGCTTGTTGAACACACATAAATATTCTACCATCGGAGTTTCGTAATTAGATTGTGTCAAGTGTCTGTGGAAGTTTAGCTAACTATTGTTAGCTATCTAAGGATAACATTAATTTTTCCTAATTTAGCTATTTGATGTTAGCTAGCTGAAAGCCCGCCCTATTATTACCAATGTTGGCTTGGTATTTCATTACCGCACTGTAAAATGTCATATTTGATCTAATTGTTAGCTAACACTGGTGCTTAGGCATGAGCAGTGAACTTGAGGATTAGTTATTGTAGAGATACATTTTGACATCAATGTAGTTTAATAGTTAATTTCTTTTTTGAGTCTTTTTACAACAAGCACACCATTTGTGTTTTCAGTCTGGAGTTTTACCTGGCAAGGTAATTGAAAAATGTTCAAATCCAGGTGTGTTACTTCAAAGGGATAACTGCTACTTTATTGAACACAGATTACATTTCATTCAGAGTCAGCATGAGCACGAGGAACGGAGATATTCAACAAAGTTGAAACTTAAATCTTGAAATGAAAAGAATTAGGAATTAGAGATGATAATTCAGCCTGTGTTTTATGATAGTGTCTTTGGTTATGGTTCAGCATTGTGTGCATCTGTGGTTGAGCGGAAATGAAGACCCTTGACTACAAAAGTTGTGTGGTATGGGACACCCATCAACTGGTGTAATAAATTAGATATTCCATCATCTACAGACTGCAGATAATACATTTAACAAGCAAGGACACTGTAAAACTTTAGTTCACTGAAGCACATGCCTGCGCTGTACTGGGTTTCCTTGCCGAGCTGGAAAAAAGGTCGACCCCCCTGATTGTCATTGTATAATTCACACTGTGGGCCACTTGTTAAGGCTTCTGGCCTTACATGTAGGCCATAACATGAGGTCCCAACAAGGCGTTAGTGAGGCAGGTGCTTGGTGTGTGTCTGCATCCTTGTTGGTGTAAACCAGACGATGGCGATGAGTACATCTGCTGCCAGTGTCTCCCCCTGCCACAGCGAGCATCAGACGCGGTGAATGCCGGCTGCTCGACCAGCGCATCCTCTCGTCTCTATCCCCATGTCCACTTGACAGAACTCAGCTGCTGAGCCCTTTTCATCACCTGCTCATGTAGAGCACCATTCACCTCAATCTGGCTGCTCTCCTGCCGTCCGCTTCTTCCTGAGTTGAGTTGCTATTGTCCACCATTGTGCTGGTTATTAACATTGTGTTATGAGATTACACATGTGTCTACATTCCACTGTGCTCTTTTAGCTGTATGTGAGGTCATCATTCTACTTTTTTAATTTTTGGGACAGGTGTCCTTTCGCACAAAAGTGTGGTGAATATTACTTGTATACCATACCAGTAAGTCTGAATTGTTCCCATAAAAATAACTGAACAATTGAACTTTGCAGAATCTCGCCAATCTTAAAATGTGTAACATGCCCGTATTGAAAACAGTTCAAACATTTATATTTGTATGTGCGATATAAGCAGCTTTGAACCAGCTGAAGCGGGTGACCCAGTGGGCTTTAAGAGGCTTTATACATTTAAAAAACTTCAATAGAAACCAGACCAGTGTCTGATTAAGATCTGCGTTTATTTGTCAAAACATGGGGCCACACTAGGCCAGTAAAAGGGACAGGCGTCTAATTGGGACTAGGATTTTGATCGAAGTTTTAGGGTAACCCTGTTTGGCTGCATAGCTTACATTGTTCGTACTTAGTGTGTTTCTCTTTTACATTTCCAAGAGGAAGATCTTTTAGGATTAGTACTAACCAATGCTTGGTGAGCGTAATGCTATCTTGGAGTTTCGCTGCAGTTGCTGAAGTATAAACTTCTCCAAATCCATTAAAGAGCAGATAGAGCTGCTAAAGTTAGCCTTGATTCTGATAACATTCAGTTTTCTGTGGTGATATACTGCACAGTGGATGAAATGTCCATCTAACCCATAAAATGTAGTTAGCTAATGAAATTATTCTTCGCCTTGAAAGTACAGCTAGGTTACTACTGTAGGCTGTAAGCTAGTTAGCCGGACATGCTAACATTTGCAGCTGGATTTGCATTTGTAGCGTGTATAATCATAACGCTAACACTTTTGCTCTTTGGTTTTGAAAAAGCTACCACCCTCCCTAGCAGAGTCCCGTGCACACCTCTTCAGCATGTTGAGGAATCCAAAGCTTGACAGGAAGGCAATGCCTAGGTGTGATTGCTAAGCTATGATTGGACAGTTTCTGTTTGATTGAGGGGTTTAGTAGATTTTAAGTTATGGTTGTCACAACTGATGGCTAAAACTACCAAAAGAAGTAGTAATAAACCAGACTTGTCCTTTAAGTGTAAAATTCTGTATGTTTTCCACATATCTAGCATTTATATAGTGCTTTTGTCTAAAGCACGTTACCATCAATTTAGGGTACAGTGTCTTACCTACCGTGTGGACAGGAGTAGCTGGTGATCGGACCGCCAACCCTGCGATCACTGGACGACCCGCTGTCCCTCCTGAGCCACAGCGTGTGTTTCTGATTGGATTTAGAAAGAGTTAGGTGCTGTGAAGGGGAACCTTTCAGTGTTGATGTGTATAAAACACCTTGTTTACATGAAGGTTCAGTGGGTTTCTTGTGGGAGTTTGTGGTTCTGCATCACATCCGCACATCTACTTACTATCTCTCATGGGAAATTGGGCTTCATGCTTCTTGGAACAGTAATTAGCAGTATGGGTTTTTATCTGCAGGCTCTTTGAAGACTTCAGAAGAGCATTCTGCTAATTTCATTTGAGTTTTTTCAGTCTTTCTTTTTCAGTCTTGTCTTTCACCCTTTGATTATTTATGGTGATTTTTTCGGGTGGGGCATTTTGCTTCAGACATTATTAATGTGTTTTTCTTTTCGCCTACAATACATAAAGCTCTAATTCCCACCATGAGAGGTGCTTGTTCTTTCCCTTCACACACTAGCCTGGCATTTTGGCTGGATTGAGGTTGAGCATGTAACAGTAAATATTAAACACATCCAGCTGTCGCTGTGAGATGGCCGTCTGTACTGCTGCTTTGTACCTTCTGTGGCTTTTTACAAGATGGTCTGCATTGTGTTAGGCTTAAGAAGTTATAGCAGTAGAACATAGTGCAGAGGAGGACTGCAGCCACTCAAACACAGCGAGATACTGTAGATGCAAATAGGTCAACAGAGTGCAAAACAGAGGGAGAGTGGGAGAAAACAGTGGGAAAGTAGTGAACTATTCTTTCTGCTCATTTTCTCTCTGCAACATGTTGTGAAGGATGTGAGATTGAAATAAGACTAAATGTAACTGAAATAATAAACTGCTCTTTTTCCTTCTTATGGTTATCCTACCTGTAGTGATGAGCCTCCTACACTAAGATGTATACCATGTGCCCTTAATGTTCCCGAGTCAAACCCTTGGTCTCATGTTTCTGTCCCTGTGTTGCTTGAAGTTTCTAGCCATGGTAGCAGTGTACTTCACAAGGGATGGCAATGTCACTGACACTCGGTCGCTTGGTTAGTCGGTCCACTGTGTTAGTCCAGACAGAAATATCTCTATATCAACTATCAGATGAATTGCCATGACATTTGGTGCATTGTAATAACTTTAGTGATCCTTTGACTTTCCATCTAGCGCCATCATCAGGTCAGAACGTCACTTTGTCCAGCACTTTAGACAAAATACATTAGTACTGACATTTCTATTTAGTGCTTAGTGTTAGCCAATGCATAATAGACTAACGTGCTAAATTATAATGATAAATGTGGTGAACTTTGTGTGCTAAACATCAGCATGTTAGCGTTCTCATTGTGAGTGTGTTAGCATGCTGACGTTAGCGTTTAGCTCATAGCACCACTGTGCTTTACTTATCTCATGTTGTCTCAAGGTGCCTCAAGCCCTGGGACTGTAACCAATTTGTTTTAATTTATTTGCCTTTTATTTAACGTGGGTTGATCTCCGGAAGTCAAAAACTCCTTTCTCTCTAACTGGCCTTACCCAGGGAACTGTGTAGGTGCTGAAATATGTAACCGATGTTAGCAGTGGCCTGTGAATGGGCTCCTGATCTGTGTGGGAGGAAATGATGACAGTGTGACTTGATGCTTGAGGGCTAAGAGGCAAAGGTTCTTCAACACTCTCCGGCAGCCAAGCGCCTGTCACTGGTCTTGGCAGTCAAGGAGGGACTGTGGGGCTGAGAGAGGGGAGGAAGTCAAGAAGCCATGGAGAGGGGGAAGAATAACTCAGACCACCATTTAAAACGAAAATCCCTCCTTTTCACCTCTTTCTGTTTCCCTTCACACGCTCTCCATGTGCCAACTTTCCACTATCCTCTCTCCGTCTTTTGCTCACACACAGTTGCCCTCTCTTGCTCACTTGTACTCATATTTCCATGCAGAGTGGAGTTTGCAAAAATCAGTTAAACACCCACCAACCTTTCTCTGTCCTTTGCTCTCCATCCCACTTGCCTTACCCTAAATATCCCTTGCTCTATTTCTACAATGCTCTCTCTCCTCTTTGCCCTCCACTTCGTCCTCCTAGTGCTCACTTTTTCCATTTCCCTATTCTTGTCGCTCTCCGAGGAAGCATGCTCAAACACGGTCCTTGGCAGAGTGCAGTTAGACTGTCACACACACTTGGGCAAGGTGCTCTCTGGGCAAGGATCCTTGTCAGTACACATGAGTTCAATGGGTTTCTGTGCTCACAGCGCTGACCTCTCTGCTGGACATTGGAAGTATGTTCCTTGCACCACGCTCTGCGGAAAACGCACACACACACTATCACACGCACACATATACACACCCTCACATGCTGTTCTAACCGTATGTGTCTGTCTCTTTCAGCTCTGCACGAGTTCCCTACAGACCTGTTCACACACAAGGAGAGAACTGAAGGAGCTGTGGCCCTGCATGTCCTTTGTGTAAGTTTTACTACACATGTACAACTCTGCGTTCATGTGTGTGTGTGTGTGTGTCTTGTCAACATGCGAAACTGCGTGTAATTGGTCTTTTACATTGCATTTTAAAGGGTACAGTATAGCTTATTCCTCTGTGCTGTAGAGCTTGCTGCTTAAGGAAATGACTGAGCCTTTTAAAAAAATTAGACAATATAATTGTGACCTGTTTATTAAATTTACATATTTGGTAGGAACCAATGGGCTTGGGGCTCCTTTTTCACATATGCTGTTGTACTTCCCAAGACCTGTAAACAGACTTTGGTGTGTAAAATCTGTGTGGAGTTATAAGTCACTACAACTGCAACACCTCAACCTAAATCCATCCCAAAGTGACACAGTCGTTGTCATTACCTGTCATGTTTGCTTTTTATCAAGTCGTAGAATAACGCTGGCAGGATATCATCCAAAGCAAGGCTAAACAAACTGTATATATTTCATCCTCTCTGGCTGAGCAGAAGACAGCGTCTGGATCAGGCCCAGTCCTTTCCTCCTCCCCCCCGCCTCCTCCTCCTCTCCCCTTCTGTATCTCATCAGTTCAGCACATGCATGACCGGCCCCACGGGCCACTCCAGCATGGTCCAGCAGGGGTCAATATGCGAGGTCAAGGCTACGATGGAGCCCCTCTGCAGTCACTCTGGTATGAGTGGCACAAGGCAGGCAGAATGTTCCAGTACATGATGACCCATGTTGTGTTGGGCTGTTGCTGATGCTCTGGGGGGCTGACTGTAATGGAAGCTCATGCCAGCAGAGCAGCGTCTCCAGGGAACTTTGCTGTGCACAAACAGAGCACTAAGAACTACCAAATGGACCACTTTGCCAGTACATGTCTGACATTATAGGCAATGTCACTACTTAGAGTGCATCCACCCTCTGAGTTAGCCTTTTCCTGTTGCAGAAGGGCAAATGAAAGTAACCTTTTCTAGGATGCTTGGGTATTTACAAAAACTATGCCAAAAACACAGTATAACAAGCTATTTCCATCTGATGTCAGGATGCGAGCTAGGGAAGAAGCTAAAGCAGCCGAAATAAACACGGAAGGAATGTCCGCCAATATGCTGAATTCGCTCATTCATGCTGAACAAAACACTGTGGAGCAATCCCGCAACCGCGTGTGCTTTCACATTGCATTCCGGCTTTCCAGGTTACCTCCGCTAAGTCCGCCTACGCCGCGGTTGCCTGAGCTTATCCGGTGAATTTTCAAAATAAATTACCCTGTGCAGAGTCCCGATCGTAAAACAAGAATAAACAACAAACAGACAAAAAATTAACCATTTATCTACGTAGCTCACTTAATCATAGTAGAAGCACAAAAGCAAGCACTGATTACCAAATCGATAAAATCTAAACATGTCAGCAAAATCTGGCAGGCAAAATGCTCTGATTCTGAAATGCTCCCTGTGGATATGCAGACTGAAGTTGACGGAACAAAACGGGGTCAGTGAGAGCGCTGAGGAGAAGGTAGTAGAAAGCACAGTAATGACAAATATATCACAAGTCAATGCTGATACACTTCCAGTGGACGTTGACTCCAGGCTGGAGACTTAATAAAAATGTGGCGCAGCTGGAGTCGGTGGACTTTCAGAATTAGGCCGTTAAGAAAAGACAGCGACTTGTAACACAACAGCTTGAAACGTGACTCCTATTGCGGCATTGCGGCTGTGGCTTTTCACACAGACCAACAACACCAACATTCCCGGCTCAGAGGCGGATCAAATCGGACCCCCCTTTCCGGTACCTTTCACACAACGCAGCGAGCCAGCATATTGGGGTAATAATCCCGGAAAATTGGGCAGTGTGAAAGCGCCTTAAGTGAGAGCACTGACAGTCTCCTCAGTAAAGCTCCTTTATCTGTCACATGCCTTTAAACAAGGTCTTAAACTAGGGCTGCAACTGATGACCATGGGAGGTATTATTTAACTAAAGGGCAACCTAGAGCTTTCAACTGCATCTCACGGTCTTGCATAGCAATAAGAATGATCTTTGTCCACTGATAACAACGGTTTGTATTACATTATTTTTATTGGATTCTTTGCAGTGCCACAAATCAACACATCACTTTCATGAGAGCAGATCTACTGTGAATAAATCAGTCAATAATAACAGGAGGGAAAGGCGCTTTTAGAAGTGCAGAACCAGCAGAGATACATCAGATTATCACATTTGGATGTAAAGTATAGCATACATTATTTCTGTAAATTTACTATATTAACCATGTCCACATAGTCTATAAAGAACTGTGACTTTACTTAGGTGTTGCTGGCACTTCACTTGGGACTTCATAGCCAAGACAGGAGACTTGCAAAACAATGGCCTTGTCCCACCTCTGCTTTGTACTGAGCAGCCAGAATACGTCATATAAATGTGCTGGCTCCACTTATTAATCAGACAGTCCTCCTACGTCGTACACAGGTTAAGATATCAAAAACCAAAGGCTTTATGAAGTCGAATCATAAAACAAAACTTCAAATCTTAAAATTCTATTGAAAAATAACTAAACAAATTACAGAGCAGATGTCATGTGGCTTATATTGTCTGCATTATGCAGCACTCATAACAGCATTTGGTGTTGCTTCAGGGATGTTGATTTAAACAGAGGAGTAGATCCATCCGTCTTTTCGTTGTATTATCCTCTGATTCAGCCACAAGTGAAGCTGCTGTGAACTGATTCCACCGTCGGTCGCAAGATTGTCATTGATCATGTATGTTTCTGGTATTGGATGCAGCTTGAAGGCAGAAATCTGTAAACCGCTTTGTGTTAGAGTCTCATTTCTGAATTTTAATATCACTGAATTTTACCTCCAACTGCTGTTATCTTGACGGCTGTACTGCTGACCCCCCTCCAATTCTGCACAGCTCATGAGTGCGTCATCACTTCACAGAATTTCTTCTTCTCAGGATTTGCTCTCTATATTTAACATTAAACATGCACACACATTTACTTTCAGTATGCACATACCATCAGTAACAGCTACAGCAGGCTTGAGATGGCGATGAAGGCTGCATTTTTTCCCTCCATCTCAACCTCACACCCGAATCAAGATTCAACCCAGTAGCCAGGATTACATGTCACACTCTGACTTTTTGCTTGCACACTGAAAGTCGTTCAGTGTGTGGGCTCAGCCGTAGCTCTCATGCAGGCGTTGGGTAGTTCAGCTCATTCTCACCTGCTTTCAGAAACAGGAAAGAGAAGAACTATTGCAAAGGAAAATGTGACTCAGTACTGAGCACAAAAGGAATAAGAAATATTCTCTCTCAGTGCCATTTTTCTGTAAGCAAGGCTTCTTTTTAACAAGGTGTAAGGATATTCATGCCTTTCCTTTGTTCACACATTTTCCGTCAGTCTGTCGTCACTACCTGACATTTTCTCTCTTGATCAACGCTGTCTTTCTTTCTCCACCCTGTCTCTGCTTCATTTTGGCTTCGGTGTTATATGTATTATGTGATGCCAAGGATAGGTTAAGTTTTCCATGATTTAACCTGCCATTTTAAGACTATTCAGGAGATATTTGGAAGGACAGGATTTATTAAAGGTTCCCCAAGGGTCAGTATTAGGACCATTATTGTTGTTTTGTACAAATATGATATTTGTTTCCAAGGTTTCCAAAACATTAATTAAGTTTTGAATTTGAAAAGTCATTGAATATTGTAAATAGTTGATTTTGATGAACTATCATTTATTTAGCAAGAATTAATTTACAGTGTCCAGAGTGTCTTAACTAGAATTTTGTGGGAGTGATAATAGATTATAAATGTATAAAGTTAAGGATTTCTTAAAGGAAAATTCCAGCATATTTCAACCTGGAATATTTGCATTGAAAACTCCCACACACTGTCTAACTTGCATAAAATAATAATAATAACAACATTTATCCCTTCATCAGGCACATGGTGTTACATACCGAATTTTTTTTGCAAGCTACGAGTGTGCAGGAATTGTTTTTGCAACTTTTGACCCACTTGTCCCCCTCCAACGCAACGTCTCTCATTATAGAGGTGCGAAGTAATTAACTGTTGAGAACCTGGAATATTTGCAATAAATGTTGCCGTTGGGACACCATGGGTCATACTGACTTCATAGTGATTCGGGGAAACGAGGACTCTTTCCTTGCAAATAATGGCTATCAGAGCAAGCTACACAAGCCTCCTACTCTTCACGTTCCTTCTATATTTTACTTCATTTTTGGAAGTATAGGGAGATAAATATAAATACAAATTCAATGTTCATGTTGCATAAAAGAGCTTAAAATGTTCAAAAAAGAACAACACATTGTTTATGTTTTTTTATATAAAGGTTGTATGAAGTGAGAAAAAGAAACAATATTACTTTAAATTTATTTAATTTATTCATGGGGTCTGAAATAAACTGCCATTATATTGAATTTATAGAGCAGTTGTATTTTGATATTTGTCAGATAGGGCCCATGGTGTCATTCTAGGTCAGAGGTCACATTTTCCATCCGTTCAGACAGTAGGGGAATAAGCCTTGTACAGTACGTAACCTTCCGCGCTGGGCTTTTTTTAATGCAGTACTTTTAAAAAGTGAAAACTAACTTCCTTATTTAAAAATGTAAATAGTGTGGTCCTACAGTTATGTTGTTCATGAACGTTTGCTGTCTTTAAACCGTTAATATACTGCACTGCATTTGCATGGATCAGACCTTTTTTTGCCTTCATTTACTAGAACTCACTGTTCCATTTTTTATGGCCATTTACATCTAAATTTAATGTAGCAGTGGGAGCAGAGGGGTATTCTTCACTGTATCTCTCAGGGTACATACAGAGATCTGTTCGAAATAGATTCAAAGGCTGGAGAAGACATGGGAGGTGGTAAACAACATCACTTTGTCCAGTTTGAAATATCAGTGCATATATTACAGCTGGTTGCTGTAATATATGTTAACCGTCTTAGTGTGGACTTTTCATCCTATGGTATCATATATATAAATCACATCAAGCAACATGTTCATACTTCACCGTCCCCTGTAATATCTCTCTCTGTCTGTCTTCGCAGACCATTTACATGTTCTGTGCCCTGGCCCTCGTCTGTGATGACTACTTCGTGCCCTCCCTGGAGAAGCTGTGTGAGGTATGAATGTGAGGTGTTAAAGGTCCTGAAAAACTAGCTCTCAGATCTTAAAAGTTTATTTAGAACATTGAATAATAATGACTAAATAAGCCACAGTCAAAACACTCAAAAACTCAGATAATGAACAGATATTTCTTCATCTGGGCTGCGTGGGTGTGCATCACGACATCATTTGGCCCATCCCACGTGGGATCACTATAGACTGCTGTACTCTATATCAAACATCAAAAATACAGCAAGGCATCCTCACCTGTACAAATCTACATTTATTAAAATATAATATTAAATATGCATGTACATAATTTCAAGTAGTGTAGGCTCATGTACAAAATGTCAAATACATGTTGGACTACACAGCCTTTAGACTTTTCTCCTCATCTCTTCCTTGAGTAACTGAATACTTAAATGTTGCCTATTTGAATAGCTAACTAAATCTTTGGATGTCACTAAACAAGGTATTGCTGGTTCCCAGTATAAAGGAGAGTATAAAATAAATAGAAAGGATATTTATTGGACCCATTTTCTTCCTCCAGACATGCTGTCAAGTTTTCACATTAAGTGGTAAAATATCGGATTAACAGTGTGTTTACATAATCAGACAAATGCAAGCTTTAGAGGATCTGTATTATCAGCTAAGGGTCAGGGTCAGGCTGTGACTGATCTTGTAGTCTGGATTTTCTAATTGCAGTGGGTATTTCCTGGTCAAAGATGCACTTTTAATTTGTCTCCTACTACTTTTCTGGCAGCGTCTCCATCTCAGCGAGGACGTAGCAGGTGCCACCTTCATGGCCGCTGGCAGCTCGGCCCCTGAGCTCTTCACGTCCATCATAGGTACTCACGACAATCACCGCCCTCCACCCTACCCCCATCTCTTAAGTCCTCTGTAAGAGGACACATGTTGCAATGCTGTAGCTGGATTAGGGAGGAAGCATGCATGCCTTTTAATGGATGTTTTATATAGATGCTTTTATCCCTAGACACTTCTTTACATGCAGTAAACAAACATGAAATCACATCAGAATAACATTAAAGTCATCTTATGCAATAATCACTAGAGAATTGCTGGTAAGGAGTAAAGGCGTTTTTTCTTTTCCCTTTTCGTCTTTGATCATGTGTTCAGTGTAGTATATCTGTCTCTGCCAACAATATGAAGAACAGTCACTTCAAAGGTGGCACATTACTGTATTCTTTATAAAAAAAAATCAAATTATACATACAGACAGGGTTTCAAGACATTTCATTCTTCTGATGGGTATAGAATGAAGAAAATTTCAGGTTTTATGGGCTTCTTTAAAAAGATTTTCTTTCCCCATGTGTGTTTGTGTGTGATTGAGAGAGAGAGATCCATGGCCGACCGTGAATATGGCCAAGTTATTTACATATGTTTTGACAGTTGTGCGACATCTGTTTGTCAGCTCTGCAGATGCTGTGCTGCAACTGGAAATGTCAAGTTGTGTACAACACATCATTCATGCTCTGTATGGCATCATAATGCTGTGTGTGTGCATGTGCGTGTGTGTGTGTGTGTGTGTGTGTGTGTGTGTGTGTGCGTGCGCTTATTCTCTCCCCAGGGGTGTTCATCACCAAAGGTGACGTGGGTGTGGGGACCATCGTGGGTTCAGCTGTCTTCAACATCCTCTGCATCATCGGCGTGTGTGGCTTCTTCGCCGGCCAGGTGCGGTACACACACAAATATGCAATTTTCATCATTTCACATCTCACTATAGATCATTCTGTATGGACTTGGCTGGGGAACCGGTTCGAGTCCAGCATGGACCATTGCCCAAAGTGCCCCTGAGCAAAGGCCTTGAACCACTTACTGCTCCCAGGGTGCTGCACAATGGATGCCCACTGCTCCTAATTAGGATGGGTTAAATGCAGAGGACAAATTTCCCCTCAGGGGTCAATCAACTATAAGAAAAAATGTACAAAATGTGCCGGTACACACTGGAAACATTTTTATATGTTTTGTTTGTTTTGTGACACTTTTATATTCTCCTCTGTGCTCGATCTGCTTAACCAGCCACATGTACAACATGCCATCAGTCTCAACCCATTAGATAGTTTGTATCTCTTTTCAGCTATGCATCCTCAGTGCTGCGTGTTGAATGAGACAGAGATATCATAATGTAGTGCAGCATCTCGCTGATGCTGTCTGACATGCCAGGGATATGGAAATGAGTGCAGTACAAGGATAAGCTCTCTGCTCTGAAAAATATATGCACTGGACTCTAAACAGTGATGCAATCCCAGATTGTGCATTATGTAATCATAGTGAGATAATGAGGGAGAAGGGCGGGCGATGTAACATGGCTTGGAGGAATGGTGTGCAGTAAAACCATCCTCAAGTCCGGCCATTGCACCTCACTACTGTTTGCTACCCTTGGCTGGCTGTTCAAAGCAGGCTCCCTCTATGAAGCACTACTGTACAAGCAAACATTTATGTTCTAACTCTACCATCTGCATCGCAACAGCAAACGATTCCACAGCTGGGAGTGGCACATTCAAGATGCGACTTCTGACCCTCCACTTATGTATAGTGGGAGTGTGAGCGCTGTGTGGGAGAGTGTTGTAGCGTTAGTCACTCCTGCATCGTAGCCCATAAAGCTGACTAACACACGGGCACCTTTCCTACAGAGGATGGTACCTTGCAGTTGGTTTTTTCAGTGACTGTGATTCAGGAGGTCAACTCAAGAGCTCGCGTAAGAGTGAATGAACTGAAGCTGCATACATATGTTTTGCAAGTGTACTGATCTCTGTTTTCCTTCCTCCTTGCAGGCAGTGAAGCTCTCTCATTGGGCTCTACTCAGAGATTCAACTTATTACATATTTTCTATCACGGCCCTCATTGTGGTAAGAGGTCATAGACTCACATGCAAATACACAGCTCACATGCTAATTTGAAAGTGCAGGTTATGGTTATCTGCTTTGCTATCAATACCCAATACCAATACCCGCTTTCTGCCTCAGCAGTAATCCTAGATAGTAGAAAGTCAATGAACACGTACAAGTACTGTACATTGACTGTCGATGTGGATACTTAGCAGTTTTTTAATCTTAGCAATCCTCCCTGTTGAAGCTGTGTCCCAAATCCATGATACAACCTAATTGTAAGCAGGGTTTGAGTATGAATTGTATTCACACTAGAACAAGGGACAAAATCATTTATACTCAAAAATGTCAGTATGCATATTAAAAAACACTTCATTTTTGAGGATGCTGATGGACACTATTGTCCCACAATGCAATGCACAAAGGAAATGCAGCAGTAGTAGGAAGTAACTAAGTACATTTATTCAGATATTGTACTTAAGTACACTTTTGAGGTTGGAAAATAATAATAAAAAATCATTATAAAAAAACAAAATTTAATAAATGAATAGCCACTAAAGTATAACGACATGACACAACAAAATATTCACAGTGGGTTTAAAAATGTACAGTATGAGTTTACTGTATACTAAAAGGGAGGGTCGGGTGGTTTGAGAGTCAGTGGGCGTCTCTGGCCTTGTTGATGAGCTGCAGACGGAAAGAAACTGTACTTGTAGCGCGAGGTTTTGGTCCTGATGGACTAAAGTAGCTACTAAAATGCCACTTACACGTTAATGCACCTAATAATAATAATAATAATAATCAAATAATGTAATGCATTTAATAATATGACACTTTTGCAAAAATGAATAATTTTGTGTTTGATACTTACATATATTTTGCTGAAAATACTTATGTATCTTTTCATAAGTAAAATGTTGAGTACTGTGCAAGTATTTTTACATTGTGGTATTGATACTTTTACTTAAGTAAAGGATGTGAATACTTCCTCCACCACTGACACAGAGGCTCTACTCCAAGCTGCAAGGTGGTGGAGAGGAAGCTCCAAAAACATCATCAAACGTTTAGCTTCCTCAGTGTAAAGTTTAATTGGCACAACTATTTGTATCTAAGGTATGTTTATTTCTTGGACACCAACTGCAAAAACAGTGTACTATAAATGATTGTGTAGTGCACGTACAGTTTGCAGTTAGTATCATGCTATGGGCCACACAGTGTGTTCTTTCATGTCATGATGAAGCCAAAGACGTTTTCCACAAGTTTCTAACCTCACCTAACCTAATCACCATGCACACAGAAACGATAAATCAAAAGCTAAATAAACAGGAGAATCACATGACTATGATATGTGATACAGAATCCATGATTTCACATATTCATTGTGCAACACGCTACAGAGACAAGCTGACCAGTGATTTCAAAATAAAAAAAGGAACTATCTGTTTCTTAAGTACCTTCCTATCTAGGAATTATGTATAATTAAGATAGATAGAGGTCATGCTTTGACCTTTTTCTGGCTGCCTGAGCTTGGTCATGCCCTCTAGTGGAGAAGATGTTGCAGAATTAATTTCCCTTTCAATTACTGCCTCCGCCTAATGTCCTCTTGTGTCCTCTTTGTCTTGCTTTTGTAGTTCATCTACGATGAGAAGGTGTGCTGGTGCGTAATGATATTTTCTGTAGCGGCCTCTCTATATATATTTATATGTTTTTTTAAATACTGAATCACTGTATAAATCTTACTGACCTTGTGTTTGTGTGCAGGTGGGAGTCTCTTGTCCTGATCCTCATGTATGCAGTCTACATCCTCATCATGAAGTGAGTGTCATCACCAGAAACTGCTAATGCCTTCAGTTAATTGATAAGTTGCATTTAGTTAGTTGCGGCCCCTTCTCATTCATCTGTCATTGCCAGGTTTAACGGCAGAGCACATCGCTACTTTGACCGTCGAAAGAAGAGCTCTATGAGTCTGGCCAATGGGCTGACAGGAAGCACTGATCTGGAGGATAATGTCACGTGTGACGCTACTGCAGTCCTGCTCAAGAAAGGTAACATAATCTGCTCTATTTAACACGGGCTTTGCCCTCTAACAGGACTCTGAAGGTTTTAGCTGCTCATCTCTGCGCACTGAAATTTACATAAACATAAAGTCAGTTGGGGCACCACTCCTCATCTATTTTTGTTCAGCTCCGGGATAAGACAGTCAAGGATGACTTTATTATTGACAAAGTTCTGTCACTTTTTTGTCTTGGGATGATTGCCAGTATAGATCTTCAATGCTAAAGCTGCACCTTGCTGTCCGTTTCTGGGCTGCGTATATGGTGAGATGATGGCCACAAATGAATCCCTGATCCCCTTGTTGGCAACTGAGAACTTCCCCTACTTGATGAAGCCCACTGCTAACACACTGAGCACTGCGCTTCCACCTCCTGGCCCTCTGTACAGAAACTCTAAGAGGGAAGCGCACAAACCAGCTGCAGACCAAGCCTGTGTCTTGTTATCTTGACAAACTCTAGGAGTATATACATGGGCCAGAATTCACTTGAGTGAAACGAACAACGGTCCCTCAACAACACCAGAGCATTCATCTGTATAGTAGTGTGGTGGCTGCCCACCTTGCATCCAGTTCTGCTAACTGGTCTTTCCAGAAGACCATGGACAAGAAGACTGTAGTAACACGGTAGTCTTGTCCTGGTGGCCCAGTTGATGGTGGCAGGATACAACTGGTGCCACCAGAAGGAAAGGACAAATCTCCTGGGTGCTCAACTGTCAAGGGAGGGACTGTTTTTGCCACCAAGATTACTCTAGTGTTTGCATCTTCTGTCCTCTCTGCCCTCAGAGGTAAGGTATAGTGTGGAACACAACAACAGCGAACAGAAGTGAGCAGCACAAGATGCTGGCTCAGGCCTTCACACATCCTTCCAACCTCCAACTTGCTTCAGCACAGCCTGCTCCGTCAGCTTGTTCTGCTGAGGAGGTGATGAAGAGAACCAGGGTGGCAGGAGACAGTTGGTTCAGCAGATGGTTACCATGCTGCATGTGCTTGAATGTGCAGCGTCCCACAGAAGCCAGCAGGGACCTGGACTACTGGACAAAAATACCTCTGGCACAGATAACCACTTACATTTCTGTGTTCTCTCTGACAGGACATGGGGATCATACCCCGCCCTAACATGGGTGGTAGGTGGTGGACACCCCTTGGAAATGGAAATGATCACATGAACCTATGGATGGCATAGTTAATGTTGGTGCTGCAAGAGGTCCAGCCACTGATGAGCAGAAAATGCATTGGTAACAATGAGGGGACCTGTTGTGTCAGCAGATAGGGTGGAATTCGCACTGTACCATTGCTGCAGCCTGCTGAAAGCCTACAGGCACTGTACATCTTTCATATTTAAGACCTGGAAAAATGCTGAGATAACATCCAAAAGTGGAACCCTGAGGATAAATCGACATACCGTCCTGACATGGCAAGCCAGAGATGTTTGAGAAGGTGGCAATGAGGCACAATGACTGTTCTTTGTTTGCTTACATGAGATTGTCCTGTGCTAGAGGTGGCCTTTGCTTGAAGGTCTTGCTTGAAGACAACGATCAGTGAGACATTACTCTGCAACACAGCGGAAATCTTCTCTAGCATCCTTGAGTCCATTCAAGCAACGTCTCAATTCATAGTCAAACAAGACAGTTTTGGCCTCAGCTGAGAGCTCCACCCCAACTCTATGTTTATATCAGAAATAACCACAGACCGCAACCCACATTTGCTTTCAGTGTCTACTTCGTATCTACAGCAAGGACACGTCCACGTCCCACACTGGCTTGCTGAATGAGCTACCGAACAAAAAGTGAAATGCAAAGCACTGTGGACCTTAGCTTGCACTCAACTCTAATTCAAACAAGTACTTTCGGGCCACCCACTCAGAGGTTTGGAGAGTAAACTGTCCAAAGACCCCATTTCTTTCAATTTCTTTCAATAATAATTGACTGTTAACAATAAATTAAAAAATCGCCTTCACATGATTCTTGACTGCAAAAACATGATGACTAAATGAAATTTTAGTGGGACTAAACAGCATTGCAGTCAGATGAACATTAGTATGTTATTTCCCTCTAGCTAACTTCCACTGTAAGCCGTCGGTGCTGATGGTTGATGAGCTGCTGTCTGCATACCCCCACCAGCTGTCTTTCTCTGAGGCCGGTATGAGGATCATGATCACCAGTCATTTCTCCCCCAGAACCCGCCTCACCATGGCCTCTCGCATGCTGATCAATGAGGTACATATGCACTAAACTAAACTGTACATGAACTCACATGTGTGAACACTACGTTTGACTCTATGTTCAGTTATGTAGTTCTACATGCTACACGTTATTTCAAATTTGAAAAAGTTGAAAGGAGAAATATTTTTGTCAACTTAAATGTATTTAAATACTCAAATCCCTGCCAAACCAGAGTCTTAGCATAAAGACAAACCAAATAACACTGTCTGTGTTCAACAGAAGAAGGAGTGGAATGAATGTTGATTTTCTTTCACTTTCCCTCAGACACCTGTCTGCTGCAGACTACAGTCTGGATGTAAATCTAAACTTCTGCTTCAGACAAATAAAAGGGACTTTTCCTGATTTCCATAATATAAATATAAAATGAAAACAAACTTGAGTAATTAACTGGGTACCATTCATGCTACACGACAGTAATGCAAAATGTCCAAATGTGTTCATGGAATGAATATAGTCAGAGCTTCATGTTGTTTATGGTAATGTGCTCTAATCACTTCCAGAGGCAAAGACTGATCAACACCACTGAGACTAGAGTCAACCGCATCACCAACGGCGACTCTGACTCAGCCGCCAGGCCTCAGGGGAGGCGGGGCTTAGAGAATGGGCTGAGCGGATCTGAACAGGGTCTGAACGGGAGATGCAGACTTCAGCGGCTGGAGTCTGGCAACGAGACAGAGAATGAAAATGAGGATAATGAAAACAATGAGAACGACGAGGAGGGAGAGGGAGAAGATGACGATAATGGCCCCCTGGTGCCTTTCAAAGTTCCAGGTACAGCGCAGATAAAATAAAATGATCGCTGTCGATAATTGCTTGTTATCGGTGCTGTCACTGAAGCCATCATCACATTTTTGGTTTTCCTCCTCCCTCCAGCTGGGGGGTGTAACAAGCTGAAGTGGCTGACCATGTGGCCGCTGTCCTTGCTGTTGTTCTTCACCGTGCCTAACTGTGCCAAGCGCCGCTGGGAGAGATGGTTCATGGTCTCCTTCTTCACTGCCACCATCTGGATCGCTGGCCTCTCCTACATCATGGTCTGGATGGTCAGTGAAGTCTCACTCACTGACATGCTGAAAACACATCCTGATCTTCAAAGAATGTAAAAATTGTCTCCATATTATCCTTTAGGGCTTTTACTTTTTAGTTTAAGTGACTTGTTATTGCAAAACAAAGAAGCTATTAAACAGTTACATCATAAATGTGTGTTTGGCCGCATTCAGAGGACAATAATCCTTTGTCTGTTTCAGGGCTTTATCTCCTCATCAAATTCAACTAGTTGCTAATATACAGTGGGACCAATATATCAGGTTTGACAAACAGAACAGACGTGAACATTATCTCTCCACAGTGTGCCACAGTTTTCACCAGCATACAGCAGCTTCTGCTGTCACTTAAATCTGAAACATAACAGAAAGCAGAACTACTGTAAAGTGAAATATTAGCCCTGTTTAACTAAACAAACTGGATTTTGCATTATTTTTGGCAATTGCTAATTCCAATTGTAATTTGAGATGTGGAGAAGATGAGAAATGGAAATGATTGTTCCATTAACATATAAACATTTAAATAGGGCTAAACCATTTAAAATGCTTAATGCACTTTTAGTTATTAATGGCAAAACAAATTGTACTAATTCAATGCTGTATTGTATTTTACTGTTATAGTAAGACTGGAGAGAGAGTTTTCCCAAAGTGAAAACATAATGTTCAGCCCCCCCCCCCTTTCCCAACCTAATCATGTTTGTGCAATCCCTTAATGAGACTGTTGCAGAGCAAGAAACGCTCTCTCTGCATAACAGAGCAGCAAAATGAATCCCAGAGACAGCTGATCTATACTCAATTCATCTGGTATCCCCTTTGTCACAGAGGAGGAAAACCCTGAGGATTGTTACATTCTGTGCTAATCTGTATTTTTTTTGAGTGTGCATAAAACTCTGTTACTGCTACTTCTGTAATTTTATTCCAGATGGGAGCTTGTTTCAGTTGTGGTCTTTATTTGATTTACTGTACTGCTGAACTATGTAGTAATATTAATAATAATAATATAGCTTTACAACAATCAATACAAAAGATAAATATGTCACTATACAAATAAAGAAAACATTAAATATGCATCACACAGTAAAAGTGTGTTTTGAAGAAGTGAGATAAAAGCGGGAACAGACCGGTATCCTCTGGTAGATTGGGCCCCTACACTCAATATAACAGTATACTAAATAAAAAACATTTTGGTTTCAGGTGACTGTGATCGGCTTCACTCTCGGCATTCCTGATGTTATCATGGGCATCACCTTCCTAGCAGCAGGCACCAGCGTCCCAGACTGCATGGCCAGTGTTATTGTTGCACGGCAAGGTACACACACACACACACACACACACACACACACACACACAAATACACTCCAAATACACCATAAGACAGAAAGCTTAAATCAATATTTCTGTTGAATGAAATGAAAGACTGAAATAAAGCACACATGCTGTGAAGAGAAGGAGTGGTGTTACACAGCAGAATATAGCTTGTCACAATTGACTTGTCTCCTGACTGTAAACAGACCTTGACAGTGTTGCTCTCCTTGCCTCAGGTCTGGGAGACATGGCCATCTCCAACTCCATAGGCAGTAATGTGTTTGACATACTGGTGGGCCTGGGCCTGCCGTGGGCACTGCAAACACTCTGCATCGACTACGGCTCCTATGTGAGTGCTTCTCAGCTCCGGCAGAGGAGATTCTGCTGGACCAGAATAGAACAGAGCGGTGTTCATGAAGGACGGGATATTCAGATATGCTGTAATATTCAGCGCAGGGCAGGCTTTGTTATACACAAAGTATTTGTTGGGGCACTGCATAGTTTATCACCTTACACTGAGAATATAATAAGTGTTAATTGGCCTGCTGATTACTTCTCATACAATAAAAAAACATTTGGACTAGGTGTAATAAAAGTCTCGGAGCATAAATACATAATGTTAGCCTGTGTGTATCAGGACAGAGCATTAACTTTTAAATACCTACATTACCTGACAGTATATCTCTGTTTGTCTCCTTAGATCCATCTCAACAGCAGAGGTCTTATATTCTCTGTTGGACTCTTACTTGCCTCAGTATTCGTCACAGTAAGTACCAGACTTTTAAAACTTACTGATCTGGGCAGTCCTGGCCATAAAGCACATTAAGCTTTTATAGTTTTGAATCCAACCACACTGTAGGCATGGATTTACATGGGGATGATATGGTTACGTCCCTGCCAACTTCCAGGAAAGCTAAAATCCCCCTACCAACATTTGGACTTTTAGTCACAAGGTTGAAACAGTTTGTCATTTTTGTTCAATGAAATCTGCACTGTGCTACACAAGCACAAAGTCAGCACACTGAACGGCAAGATCACTACACATGAGTTGCTCACCATCACCTGTGATGTGAAACTGTGTTGTGGATTTGAACATACAGTATGTAGCTATTTAGCTAGCGGATCTAGCCGAGGATGTAGTTCATCCAATGTGTGTGGAATGGATGATTATTTGAATGTTGAATGTACAGCACTGATATTTGGCGTCTGGGATCTGACCTTGTCACTGCTCACAAGGAAACACCAAGCTCAGCAAAGCAGGAAGTAGGGGTTGATGAAAATAACTGGACCCGATTCCTACGAATCTCCTCCAAGCCATATCTCCTACTGTGGTCTCGACAATCACTCATGTGATAAATACTTCTCTGGCTTCAGGAACCTTCCCGACCACTTTCAAAAGGGCTCGGGTTGCACCCTTGCTCAAAAAGCCCTCACTTGACCCAACTCAAGTTGAGAACTATCGACCAGTGTCTTTTCTACCATTTTTATCCAAAACTATTGAACGGGCAGTATTCAAACAGGTCTCAGAATTCCTCTCACGGAATGACCTCCTAGATCCATATCAGTCTGGTTTTAAGAGTGCCCACTCTACTGCAACGGCTCTTCTGTCTGTAACAGAAGCCCTAAGGTCAGCTAAAGCTGCAGCCCAGTCCTCGGTTCTTATCCTGCTTGACCTATCAGCTGCCTTTGACACAGTCAATCACATGATCCTGCTATCCGCCCTCTCATCAATGGACATCTCGAGTAAAGCACTCCTGTGGTTCGAATCCTACCTCTCTGGGCGTCCCTACAATGTTTTGTGGCAAGGACAATTATCTTCCACCCACTGCCTCTCCACAGGGGTGCCCCAAGGCTCAGTGCTAGGACCCCTTCTCTTCTCAATCTACACCACCTCACTGGGGCCGATCATTCGCTCGCACGGCTTCTCTTACCACTGCTACGCAGACGACACGCAACTCTACCTATCCTTCCCGCCAGGCGATCCCACTGTCTCGGCGGGGATCACAGACCATCTCTCGGACATATCTGCATGGATGAAGGCTTGCCACCTTCAACTAAACCTCTCTAAGACTGAACTCTTGGTCATTCCAGCCAAGCAATCTATCCACCATAACATCAAACTACAAATTGACTCCTCAACCATCACTCCAACCAAGGTGGTGAGAAACAGAAGCTGTCCTTTTCAGACCATGTTGCTGCTATCTTTCGCTCATGCCGCTTTGCTCTATACAACATAAGGAAAATCAGGCCTTACCTCAGTACGCCACCCAGCTTCTGGTACACGCCATGGTTACCTCTCGCCTCGACTATTGCAATGCCCTCCTAGCAGCTCTCCCAGCTTGTGCGGTGAAACCCTTACAAATGGTTCAGAACGCAGCAGCGCGTCTGGTTTTTGATCAGCCTAAAAGGACTCATGTCACTCCATTACTCAGTGACCTCCACTTGCTCCCTGTGGCCTCCAGAATCAAAATCAAGTCACTAATGCTTGCATACAGAGTGACTACTGGGTCTGCACCATCTACCTGAACTCCATAATATGAGTTTACGTTCCTTCTCGCCCACTATGCTCCTCCAATGAACGCCGCCTGGCTCTGCCATCCCTTCACACAAAGCAATCCCAGTCCCATCTGTGACACCACGATGGTGGAACGAGCTACCACACGCCATCAGAGCAGGGCCGTCCCTCTCTAACTTCAAGAAGCTCTTGAAAACTCATCTCTTCTGAGAACACTTCCTCTTATAACGCCTCTAACTTCTAACATGCACTTCCTGTGCTCTTCTTCTATCCCCTACAATGATCTTGTATTGATTGCACTTTTTTGTTTTGATTGCACTTTTTGTTAACTCTTACTTCCTTCCCAAGGTATTTACCCCATTGATGTGATATGTACTATGTGCTCTTACTAGTATTTATTGTTGCTCTTACACTAGTAAGAGCAGCTTACTACAGTATTATTACTTATTACAGTATTGTCAGTTGTCGATCTGTATTTGATGCTCTGTTGATGCTTGTATATTGTTCTTCAAATGTAAGTCGCTTTGGATAAAAGCGTCTGCCAAATGAGTAAATGTAAATGTAAATAACTCCCCCTCCCTCTAGGGGAAGGTAGTCTGGGAGTCTACAGGTGGAGGTTGGGGCTTGAGAAATGCTTTGTGAACAGCAGCAGCAGCAGCAAGTGACAGCAGAGCTTTCAGTACTGTGGCAGCAGGCAGTTTTTGAGGGCTAACAGACATGTTGAGTGCATTTCTTTCCTCATAAAACATTTGCAAAGATGATTTTTAAAGTATTATAAATCCAGCATTGTCCTATGTACTTTCATGTTTACCAGCTTGCAGGCTTCTTCTTCCCTGACTTTGTTGATAAGTTGCTGGGTTTCTGTTGCTCAGTGGAACAGTGATAAATCATTGACGTCGCCCAGGTGCGCTGCTAGAGGTTAAAAAACAGTACACTGCCGTTATGAAAAGGTGTGTTGGTTATATGCTGCAGTGAGAAGAGAATGTCGCGTGTTAGTGGCAGTGCACTCGCGTTGACTGCCTAAGCTCGCACACAGTCTTTGCTTCATTTGTGTCTTTTGAACAAATGAACAGACTTGATTCTGCTGCCATTATTTCATGCATTTTGGGGTAAAAAAGGACTATTTTGCTATTAGAGTCAAATTTATCCCTGATAGCGGTTCAGAGCAAATAAATGTACACAATTACCCATCCCATATCCACTGATGTGCCTGCCCCCTTTTGTGACCCTACCAACTTTTTTCTTGCATGCTCGAAATAAAGATTTCAATAGAAAAAATACAACAACTTTCAAACCAAACCTGCACCCTCGGGTTCAACCATGACCTTTGTGGCTTGGTATCACCAGTCATTTGAATTTCAATTTAATTAGTCAAACAATGTTGCCAAAGTAAAAAGTCACATATAAACAGTCTCTTCCCCTGGGCTAGACTCAGTCCACTTCAACAGGAGTTGTTTAAATACAATTCTACTAATCTCTCAGTACTCAGTGGCACGACACCCTCCCCGGTTTGTTTTGTACTGTAGTTAATATTTCATAAAATCTCTCTCCTTCCTGCAGGTTCTTGGTGTCCATTTGAACAAATGGACTCTGGATTGGCGACTGGGCTTGGCCTGCCTCATCTTGTACGCCATCTTTTTATGCTTCTCCATCCTGATTGAGTTCAACGTCTTCATCTTCGTCAACCTTCCCATGTGCCGAGACATCCACTGACCTCCCTCCTTTTCTTCTTCTTCTTCCTCTGGCTTATGGAGGAAACCTCATCTGGCTTCCGGGTTCTCGGCGCCTTGGAACCAAGTCCTACCTTTTATTTTTTAAATAGAAAAATAGAGCTCTATATGATTTATCTTTGGTGCAATACACAAAAGAGAGAAGACACCGGAAGTTTGGTTTATTTGGGACCAGACAGGAGGCGTGAGAAGAAAGTCCCAGCAGCAGAGATTGCTGCCAATCGTCTAATGAACTGAAAGGTTGGCTGGAGTTAATATAACTGTATAAACACCGACAGTTAGGCTACTGTTGGTGAAGAAGCTGCTACTGTAACTGACTGACTGGTCAAAAGAGAGAAGTCCTGCGCTAACAGCGATTTTTAGCTGGATTGTTTGTTACTCTTTGTACAAGTTTGAATATAAGCACATGATTAAGGTATTTTTAAGTAAAAACCGGCTTTCTCTGTATATATTTGAGCATTATATATATATTATAAGTACTAATATTAGCTGATATATGGGATTCTCTTATGCACAACTGGATCAGTCTTGCAAAGCTGAATGATCTGATGACAGTGGCAATACTGTTATTTTTTAATGATTTGTTCTGCCAGTCATACACTCAAAATACTTCTACACGTCTCCCATGCTCAGTAACAGCCAACACAGCATGCTGTACGAGCCACAAGTCAACGCTTTGCACTGAGAGAATCTAAATATTTAACACTATTCGCATAGTCTATTCATGTTTGTTTTTCTGTCTCTCTACAGGCATTTCTGTGTAGGCGGGGTGGGGGGGGGCTTTCTTTTCTTTAATAAAACCCTCATAGGAAAGGGATCTCCCTGGAACTAACATCCAGCACTGTCACTTTATTGATTAGAGATATTATTCTATCATTTCAAAGCCTCTGCAGGTACTCTAAACATGTAACTACTGAATTTAAAGTTCCCTCTAGACGGTAGACCTCTTACAATATTACAGAATTAGGTTTTAGTATCTGAGTTGAGTTTAACATTGTTACTTCTTAAAGCCAAAAGTATTTTTAGAATAGGTGTAAGGTCGTAGATTTGGACTTCAGTCAGCTTGAGTGCACAGTGTGTGTGTGTGTGTGTGTGTGTGTGTGTGTGTGTGTGTGTGTGTGTGTCACACTCTCGAGGGGAACCAAGGACACCACTGTTACTGGGAAGACATAATCATGATTTATTTATGAATTAATTTATTCAAAGATCATGTCTAAGCACCAGTTTCAGCCCTTTGGATCATGTACAGTGTATTAAATGGAACGTTCTCCGCTCTTTGACCACGGAGCTGTACAATGTACTATACCTAATATGTAATCTCAGTACTGGAAACTGACTTGATGTTGTTTATATTTAAGAATAGAACTTTATAATTTATAAGTTTTGTATAGTTTGGAAAGATATTGCAACATTTGTATATTGGTACAAACACAGTGGTTTCCGACGACGATGATGCGCGGCAGGGTTGAGTTGCCTTGGAGATGTTGTCATTTGGTGAGATGGACTGAAATGCAGTCTTTATCACTGGTCCTAACATGGGTGGAAGCTGTCGCTAATCCCATTGCATGTTGAAATAGTGATGAATCATGGTTGTAAAAGATTCACTTTCAGATAATAAAAAAAGGAACTGCACACCGATGGCACACCACCTTTTGAACTTTCACGACATATTGTTTCTTAAACACATTGCTTGAACTCTTGTGCCATCCCTTGTTGGTTGTGGCCATTCTCCTGCTTGTATTTGAGCCAAAGAAACACCTTTGTCAACAGTATTGTCACTCTGTTCCAGCATGTGTTGTGGAAGATGTGTATTTTTTTGGACTTTTATTTTTACCTTGAAGGATTCTTATTCAGTTATCAGGTTCTTAGAGTTGCTGATATATTAAAAGCGTCCTCTGTAGGTGTTGTTGCCTCTCCTGCAGCCACAAGAGAGCGCTGTAGCGCTGTGTTACATCTTCACAGATGGCTGCTTCATTCAGTAGTAAGTGGTTATATTTTCAGGTAGGCTACATAGAAACAAATACTGGTCTGTTTGCATGCCTCTTTCATAATTCAGATTATTTTGTGTGTAATTTTAATGCATTTCCAAGATCAAAAAGGCACTGTCTTGATTATGCTGTACATATCAGAGGGATATGCTATTATAATGATGTTGGAATAACTTCTGATGAGATATATACAGTATTTAGAATGTAGGCCTACAACAGTTAGTTTTCAGCTAATTAATGTTGTTTTATGCTCATGTCTTTTGAATTTGTTTGTAAATCCTCGTTTTTGTTGATGAGGACCTCTGGGCAGAGCTCAGAGTCAGAGAGAGTTGAAGATGTTGGCTTTTGTTCCCAGTGGTCTTCTTGCAATAAACTGATTTACATACATGAAACGTGTTCCCATGTCTTTGGAAGCTGTTCACTTCAACTTCAACTGTGTATTTTGGCAGTGTGTTATCATAACAATAAAGTGAGACACACTCAGTATACTCAGCAAGTTTGCCTGAAAAATCCTTTATTATTCATTCACAGTATATGGTACCAATTATAATTTTAAGCTGATTTAACCTCTGACATTCCAACAGTAATAGCATACGTGTGTTAAAAATGGATAGTTCATCAAGTTTGATGGTTTTACTATATCGTTCAATAAAGAATCAGTCTCACTTTCTATTAGGCATCGTTTATAAAGGGTTTAATGTATCACAGATCAGTTGGGTCAGAATTCCCGATGAGCTAAAAAGACAAAACAAATGCCATGCTGGAGATTAGCAACCCTACGCTTGTTAAAGCTACACCAATCAATGTCTTTACATTTACAATGGGTCATTTGACTATGTGTAATATGAAGGGGGTCCCTCTTCATGGTGGACCCATAGATCATTTTCAGTAACGCACAATTGCCGTAGGTTTTCGGCACCACAACTACTTGGTTAGGTTTTTGGTTAAGATCATGGTTTGGCTTGAAATAAGTACATGTTCGTGTGCAGTGAGTGCACGGGCATGCCAGCAGGTTGGTAGGTAATCAGGTAGGCAGGCTCAGTAAGCCAGCCTATGATTTCACACAGTCACAGACACCAGATTTGTTTTCATTTTGTGTCAGTATATATGATTTATTGATTGCTGTCAGGATGTAAAGAGAATTTCATCAAATGCTTCTGAAATGAATTGCCTTCCCTAGCTTTATGGTGATAAATTTAATATACTGTTACTGTGTAATATTTCTATAGTAAGCTCATCATCACAATATCTACACAATAATAGAGGAGAAAATACAATGAAATGCTTGAGCTCTGGCTTCCCCTGCCTTAATTAAACAGAATGTGCAGTACAATACAATAACATTAAATATTTACAAAAGTGTGAAGTGCACAATATACAACACAAGTGTGCAATATGCAATACAATACATAATAAAAATACATGTATTTTTGCAATACACATGTCTGCTAGTAAGTACATAGCTGTTATGTTTGCAACACAGACAGAAAATGCATGGTTTATTCTCAAACACAAGGAGTGAAATGTTATAATTCACCCCACAGTCTGGTTTAGTTGTAACAAAGCCTGGGGCGAAATGTCCATCCATCCATCGTCATCCTGCGTACAGGGTCGCGGGGGGCTGGAGCCAATCCCAGCTGACATCGGGCAAAAGGTGGGGTACACCCTGGACAGGTCGCCAATCCATCGCAGGGCCACACATAGACAATAACCACTCACGCTCAGGGACAATTTAGTGTCACCATGTCTTTGGATGGTGGGAGGAAGCCAGAGCACCCGGAGAGAACCCAAGCAGACATGAGGAGAACATGCAAACTCCACACAGAAAGGCCGGGGCAACCAGGGTTTGAACCCGTGACCTTCTTGCTGTGAGGCGACAGTGCTAACCACTGCAACACCGTGTGGGGCGAAATGTAACATTAAGTAATAAGGAGTATGAGAAAAACATGATATTGAAAGTGTTTTAACACCTGAATTTTTTACATAATTGTTGTGTGTGTGTTTGCGGGGGGTGGGTAGGTGGGGTGGTGGGGTGGGGGGGGAATCCAAGTATCTTAGTTACTGTCAGTCATAGTAGTGACATATTAGCGGACATAATCAAATTTAACCAAATGGGCAAATGTGCACCAACTGCATATTAGAATATTAGTGTGTGTGTCTGTGCTTGTTTTTCTTGCACCGACACAGTGGAGACAGACATATGGCACTACTGGAGTGCAGGCATCATGGGGAGAAGAGAAGCCTACAGGTCTTACACCAACATTTGATAAATAATAATAACCAAACAATTAAACATTGCTGTACGTGTGTCAGAGACATACTGAAATTCAAATAAAACATATACATACAACTAAACATTTTCTTGGGGTAGTTGTTATGAGTTGTTATGCATTGTTATGACTAAACTATACTCTTGTAGCCATTAACTAGCTTACCTTACAGCTGACAGCTAAAACAGCACTAACAACTTGCATAAAAGATATCTACATAGGCACCTGAGGGGCGTCTCGGCCTGCCGTTAGTTGTCAACTTGACCAGCAGCAGCGATAATATAGCAAGCTTATTTTAATAATATAGCAAGCTTATTTTAATAATATAGCAAGCTTATTTGAATAATGTGTGAGGGTGCGTGCACGCCAAATATAACGTTCAGTAGCTTGTCAACCGAGAATGTAAAGGTATGTATATAGACATTAAACATGATTTAAGTTGGATGAGTTTAACTTCAAAGCAGAAAATACTATAACAAAATAAGTAGAGTTTCAAAAAAAATACTTTCTTAATTCAAAATAATTTGTTTCCTTCTATAATTGGCAATGTGGAATAAGGACAAAACTGAGCATGTGCAGAGTGAATCAAGTGATTCATAACTTCTTCCTGAAATTGGACGTGTTACAACAGACCGGTGTTGAGCGCCGTGTGGGCCCCCTTCCTCTCTTGGTCCCTTTCTCATAAGCATCTTTTGAAAAATGTTGATAAATAATTGAGCAATTGAACAGCTGTACACATTAAACTATGGTGGTGATCAGGGTATTCACCAATGAACCGTTCTTACCACATTTAAACAAGTAATAATAATCTGGGATTTGTGCTTACGTCTGCACAGTTTGAAATCTCACCACATTTCAACTCTCTTTTCTTAACACACTGTATCCAATTACTTTACTGTGGTTACAGGAGGTTTGCTTTGAGTATCATGTTTAAAATAACACATATTATGTTCTTCATGTTTATTGAAGCATTCATCATTCCCAAGACAACGCTGACTAAATACCATCTTAGTTGTCATAGCCTTGAGAAAATGCTTACTATACTGCATAATGAAAGACAACTGAACAAGATTTCTCTAACAGTCATGCTTTGTTTGCAGAAACAAGAAGACAAACAGCTTTCAAATAAATGATAGCCTTTACATTGCCATTTGTATTATTTCAGTACATTTAATCTATCTTTGTGCCCAAGCCCACAGCGTAAATTAGTGGTTCAGAGGCATGTAGGCCTAAAAGCAAAATTATTAAAACTTTAAAACGCTATTAGCTTGATATTAGCTTAAACCATTCTTATCTGCTGGATGGGACTGTGCTCACTTTTCTTTGAAAGAAATAAGTTGGCAGCTGTTTTCTTTCTCTTTCCTTTTTGGTACCTTAAATTCCCTTTCTTTGGGACAGACTTGACTGTCACGTGTGATTGCTCCAGCAGCAGCAGTCACTCTGCTATCTTAAGGTGCATTCACACCGAAAGCGAATCCAGCGTTTTGGGGCGGCTTGATTAAACACAAAGTCAATGCAAAGATGCGAATTCGCTTCAGGCCGCGCGAATGAGGCGTTTGACGCGCAATTCGCTTGTTCGCGCAAGTTAAACGTTTCAACTTGGGCGAAAGATTCGCTTGACACGATGCTGCGAAAGTCTATCAGTGGTGACACTGTCCAAACAATACCGGTGGCTTCGGAGCGTTGTTTGGAGAGGACCAGGCGAGCGGTGTAATGACAATCCGCTGGCCGACAGGGAGCTGCTATAGAACGTGGAAGTGGACGGGGAGCAGCGCTGCAGCTTTCGGATAAATAAACACCCATAGTCGGTCTGGATTATGATCTGACAACTACGCTGTTTACCCGTGGGAGGAGCTCAGAGTTAACTGCTTTTATTAAATTTACTTTAGTTTTTGGAATTACAACTTATCTTCACTCGCGCTTGTCGGCAGCTAGCTTCCGTGCACATCCGGTTCCACTGTTGTTGTAAGCGTCGGATGGCACCAGAGTTCTGTAGGACTACTACTTCATATTTATATAAAAAACGGACAAAGCTGGACATTACTTGGAGAAAAGAAAGCGAAGAAGTTGAACTAACTGGTGAGTTTAGAAAATGTGTGTCTGTAACTTTATTTCAGCTGTCGTTGTACTTGAACAGGTTAGCATAGCATAGCCCTGATCGATCCGAACTCCATTCAGAAAACACGCATTTTAAAAGTTGTTGTCCTTCTGACAGACCTGACAAATCATGAATTCATATGTCTAACGAAACGGCATCATATTGTAGTTATTTCAGCATCATTTTGATCCGTTTATTGCAATTAAATCACAGCCAAGTGTTTACTTTGGGGTCATATAGCTATAGTATCCGCGGGCTGTGTTTATTTCGTTGTGTGTGAACACTCAAAATGTCCAGCGATCAAACTTGCGCGAGTAAAGCGAGGCGAATATTAAATTCGCTTTCGGTGTGCAGCTTTAGAGCATTTAAAGATGAATCCTACAGTGGCAGGCGGCCAAAACCATTTTGCATATTTGCATTTTATTTTTATTTTTTGGGGGGGGTGAAGGGGGGTACAAAGTTCAGTCGCTCAACTGATTTATTCAACCAATTTGAATTTAGTCATAATACTACTTGCTTAGAAATAAAACATTGCAATCAAAAACAAACTTTTTATTCAAGCTTTTTCAAGGGGCCTCCCCCCAGCCCTCCCCTATTTTTCGACGCCTTTGCCTGTGTTACAACCGTCCCCGGTCTCCCCTACCTGAAGTTTGTGGGGTCCACCCACAGTCTATGTGTCCACCGAGCATCGCATGTTTTCCAAGTGACTCTATGATAAGCAGAATTACTTGCTTTTGCACAGTGCCTTACACTGAAATGCTATGTGTGTTGAGCCAATGAGGCAGAGGCGTCATATTACTGCAGCCCTCCCCCTCGCCCTGGCTCTCTCACACCTCAGTGGTTTTATCCAAACCCGGTGTTTCCGTCTCTGTCCGACATTAAACCATGTAACCGACCCAGTTCGGGGACATTGAGGCTCCTCGGTGTCGCCCGAAATCCAAACAATACGGCAACAAACGACACAGCGGCCGTGAGTTCCCCATGGAGCCTAACCGGAGAGAAGTGCCGAGTCCGCGGTGTTGAAGGAAACCACTTTCAAGGTGAGGATCTTAGGGGTGTTTGTCTGCAGCAGTAAACAGACTCCAGACTGTTAGTTCAGGCTCTAACCAGAATTTCTGGCAGGAAATGTCGAAGTCTTGAGACATAACTAGGCGACTGACTCCAACTTTGCTGAAGGTTTTCCTGCTGGACCGTGTGCAGGCTCTCCTGTTGTCTGCCTGTGGTGCAGACCTGCTAGAAGAAATGTCCCTGTTCATTCTGTAATTTAAGGATTTGGACGTGACGTGAAATAGATTTGACAATCCACAGTGGTGGTGGAAAGCATTGGACCGTGTAGCAAGAAGTTGTAACTTAGTCTATTGCAAATCCCCATTTAATGGATCAAACCACGATGTTTTAATGCAGTTACAGGAGAATGTACACATGCATAGAGATGAGTGACTCCTCTGTGACATGACTGTGGCTGATCTGGTTTGGCTTTATCATATCATCTTAGCAGCATTTTGTATTAGTAGCATTAGTAGAAGTAAATATATGTGCATGGACTTGCATCACAAACATTTTTGACAAGGACTTTTGTCCTTGGGAATACAACTGTCATATGGATAAACAATCCTCAGGCCTTGTACTGTAGTTTCATAATTTTAGAGACTGTATAAACCATTATTTTGGGTACTAAAGACTGTAAGACCTTCCCCCCATACCCCCAAGAAAACTGAATTCATACAGTCCCTTTCATTATTTATAAGTAAAAGAGGTTAAGCATACATAATTGCAAGAAGGTGTACCCTAACTTAAACCACAATTTTAATTAGAAGGGAAATTGTAAGCTGCAAATCTCTCCACAAAAACCCAAACAATACTGAACCGTACTGTAACTCGATTTTGGAGTAAAAAGCTTCTAAATAAACTGTTACTACTGTCACTGAATGGATGAAGTGGAGCACTTCACATTTTGGCTGGATTCCAAAATAATCAAATAGGATAATACTAAAAGATGAATGTGTGCTCTCCCAAAAAGTCAAACTAACTTCTCTACAACAAAAAGAAAAAGAAACACAGACCTTCCCCAATGCTGCGCCTAATAACTTTCATACAGTCCCTTAATCGTTTATTTCCCCAGTTGTAATCCACTATCAGTGCCTGTATGGAAGTGCGTAGTGCTTCACCCCCCTTACCTTTCAGAAACACGTAGGACCTGTCTGAACCTGACTAAACACATGTCATTCTTTTCTCCAAACTTGTTTAATATCTTTCTCAGTTCCTGATGCTTATCGCTGTAAAAAAGGGAGCAATTTCCTTATTTAAGCTTCTTTGGAATCTGTTAAAGGGATTAGCTTCACTGTAAAACCCAGATTTGTTGGCACAAAGATCCCTAGTTACATACTGCTATGAGGACATGAATCAGCAGAAAGGTATTTTAATGAAAAATAACTTTTAGCTCGTCAGTACTTAATTAGGGTTGTGAAGCTGATATTGTTTTTTGTCCACAGTCACACTAAAATAATTCCGGTTGCCGTCTGCTGTCTTTCAGGTGCTTTTGTTTTTATCATCGTAGAGAGGTGTTTTCTGCTTTACCTGGATGTGATTGCTGTGAGTTTAGATTTGAAAGTAAACCACTGTCCCAACCACTTCTCTCTGCAAGTTCAAGGCAGAACTGAGAACTCCACGGGTTCATAAAAAGTGATGTCATTTTCGCTGGACAAGGAAGCGGCCACTCAAGTTACAGATGTGAGCATAAACTGTCCCTGCGGGGGACGTTAACACTGAATGCTTTCACAGGAACAACACCGATGTCTGCTGTAATCCGGCAGCGGGGCATGAAATCAAACACACTGAATATTAGCTTCATACATGTGTTCAGATTATGTTGGTGAGCTATGTATCTGCCAAAAAACCTATTAATATAAATAGTATAAGTGTGGCGAAATAGTTTCTTGCATTCCTGCCACATTTCAGAATTAAAGTGAGGCTTAGTTGCAGACAAGGCCGGATTAACCTGTTAGGGGGCCCTGGGGCAAAAATGAGCTGGACAGGATCTCTATAGATACTGAACAAAACATCTGAACTAAGAAGCATCTTTATTTCAGTGATTTCTTATCGAATTCCAGCTGCGCGTATCGTGTCTGTGGATTCAGGTATGTCTGAATTATGTATGACTCTGAGCACAAAGCATTTTTCTCTGAGCCCCAGGCAATTGCCTTTGATGTCTACAACGTGTACCACCACTGCAGAGATTTGTCATTTAGCTACCTTAATAGGAGTCCCGACTTGGGGAAAAAGGTTAAAAATCATCTTTATTGTACAGGATAGTTTTTCATCCAGATGGTTAGAAGAGTCTGCTGCAAGTCCCCTCAGAACAACGCTGTTGTTTACAACATTCTGAGTTTATTATATATCCCCCTGTAATTATTTTTTATAGAAAAATGGATGCTTAGCTCTCTGTCTTGAACGTACTAATAATACATGACAGGCACAAACTGCAGCTAGGAGCCTTGAAGCCCCTATCATCTTAGTTTAAACTGTGCTTTTTTTTTTTTTTTTATTCACAAGGAAATGTACAATAAATAAAAATACCACAATCTAATTGCCACACTGTGAGTTGAGCCTTTGGGGGCCCCATGAGGGTCTGGGGCCACAGGACACTTTTCCTGTGTAGTAATCCAGTCAGTCTTGCTTACAGACAGGCAGGGGCCAAAGTAATTTAAATCAAAATCCCTTATGTTTACCCTCTGCTTGTCTTCCATATCTCCTCCATGACTCCGTAATAACAAGTTCTGGTATAATCACGGTAATTAGACAATTTTCTGTCCGTTCTGATGCTCCCACCCTGTCTGCTCCATCTTCTGCCTCCTTCTCGTCCTTTTAAATTGAGAAGTAGAATTTCTGCAGACGAAGTTCCCACCTCCTCGCATCGGGCTCGACCCTTGGCTTGATCCAGTGTTCCTGGTACTAATTTAAAGAGGAGTGGCCCAGAGAAAACAGCCAGGCTTTTCTCGGCTGACCTCTGATGTGGAAAGTTGTTTTCTGGGCGGTGCTGGTGCCTGAGACGGTCTCTCACCACGATTCAGTCCATTGGCACTCTTATTACTGTATATGTGAAGTTGCATTTGTTTGATGGTGACTTTGAGTGTTTACGTATTGCTGGTGCAAGACTTCTAAAGCAGTGGTTAGAGGTTAGGCTGCTGGTCACGCTGGTGTTTGACTGACAGAAGTTGCATAAACATTTTGTGGAAAAAATGAAAGTAATTCAAACGAACTTCCATCTTTAAGTAAAAAAAGCTGTGAGCCAGTGAGTTCAGCTGAACTTACAGAGAACCCCTGACCCAAATACTGCTCTGTGGCCGCGTACACACACACACATTTGCAGAGCTGTTGACACTCTTTCATTACTCAAATCGAAACTTCTTTTTTTATTTAAGTAAATGGTTAAAGTCAGTGTAGGTTTCATATTAAATGAGTTGTATTTCCACCCTGCTAACACTGTGGACACACACCATTATCTGGTTTGTCTCAGGGCAATAACATACTTCTTATCTGCAGCAACCCCCCCCCCCCCCCCCCCCCCTTACAGCAGCATGGCGCCCTGCTAGCCTCTATTTCTTCACTGGATCTCACAACTGACTAATGAGGCAGCACTTCATTTGGTCTTGACAGTTTAAACAAATACAAGTTAAGTCTGTTGGATATGTTTTTATGCTTTTAGAAGGTGGGAGGTGGACGTCTTTGTTCTGGTTCAAAGGACAGCGACATTTTATATGTTCACAACTTGGTGGATCCCTGGAAAAATCAAAGCTTTCTCGATTGGAATCATTACTAACCCAAGAAAACGATCGTAAACACATCTCATTGAGCTTTGATTTATTGCTGGCACATAGCAAAACTAAGACGTCTTTGGTCAGAGAGAAATGAGAGAACGATCTTGGAACGCAGTTTGATGATGATCAGTGGTCCCTTCTGCTCAAGGGTGCACAAAACGATTAGATTAGTGCAAGATACAAAATCTTGAAACTATCCACAGAATATTTTCTTCTCCTGTTATACATCTCCAGATTGCACCAAATCGATGTAGGAAATTTCTTACATGTGACTTGGGCATGCCTAAAAAATTAGGCCCATGATGGGAGGCAAGAGAAAATACACTTAGGGCTTGATTTACTAAAGGTTTGCGTGAGTAAAAACGTGTGCAAGCTTGAGATCACCAGCAAATTAGCACGTAAGCTGATCTACTGACGGTGCGCACGCAGAATGACGTCTTTCAAAAGTGCACCTGTTGTTCATTTACTACTTTTGCCTTAATGAATATGCAATTTGGGGCGTAGCATGCAAATACATTTATTCACTGCACGCAATGTGATCTACCAAGCCTAAACGCAATTTCACGTGAGTGCAACAGCCTCTGTATTTAATGTTAAATAGAAAGGAAGGTGCAAACCGTTGCGCAGAGATGGCTGCTGTTATTGTTGCCAGAAGGAGACACAGTTGTAATGAAAGAAAATGTAGAGAAATTAACATTAGATAATATTATTCTATATCCAATATATTGAAATACAATTATTTTATTTATTCGATGAACTATATGAATAGAATTTTTTTGTATTTTCCTTTAGCTTTGGCAGGACTGTTGCATTAACATTCATGCCATTAAAGCAAATTTCGTTTCGACCCGACTTCTGTTCTCCGTGAGATGGAAGAATCTAGACAGTTGCGTGGCGCTGCGGAGAGCCCCCAGCTGCAGTAGTGCACGGATCACGGGTAAAATTATTCATCCAGCCAGAGGGAACGATCACCAGCTGTTCACAGCGCGCCGGTCGTAATAGCGACACAACCCATTGTAGGTACCGGAGAGGGAATGGGGCGTTGGGGCCGACAAGGACAGGAGCCTGCGAAGCGACCGGGCACGGTACGGTCGGTCAGTGATTGTTCCCTCTGGCTGGATGAAGCACGATCTGCTGGCATTTCCTCTCATCTAGGTTATTCCAGCCTACTGTATCTGTTTCTGCTGGACTTTTCCAAAGCTGTTTTTCCAGGTGTGCTGGCC